CAAACCTAGCCAGCTGCACCAGGATTTCATTGGGTGGGAACAGGGCTCACACCCCAGAAAGGCACTACAAGGTCTTACTGGAGATTCTCTCTCTACCTTTTGAGTTCTTCCTGACCAAACCTCAAAAGTGGCATTCGGTAAAGCTAAGCCAAGCCCCAGGGCTGGATGGGAGACGAGCCTGGAGACAGGCCCGTCAGAGAGCAGGTCTCACCGTTGTGTTCCTCTTCTTCCTCAACTGAAAAATGCAGTCATACACAATCACACCTGCTGGTGAAAAGAGAGAACTACCCTGTCTTATATCTCTGTCCCCCTTCTTTGGTCTCCCACTGAAGCTCACCCTTGCATTCAGCGCCAAATAAACACACAGAGACTTATCATAACTATAAACTGTTTGGCTGATGGCTCAGGCTTCTTACTGTCTAGCTCTCTCTTAATTATTAACCTATTCCTATTAAACTGTGTATCTCCATGTGGTTTTGGCTTAGGGAGAATGTTCCAGATGTTACTCTTTCATAGGCTACACGGAGTTTCTCTCACAGCCTCTCTCTGTGTCCTCTCCCCAGAATTCTCCTCGTCTCATAGCCCTGCCTATAATTTCTGCCTGGCTACTGGGCAATCAGTGCTTTACTCATCAGCCAATAAGAGAAACACTTATACAGAAGGACATCTCCCATCACACCCTGAGCTGCAGGTGAGTCACAGTGGAAAACTTTCTAGACTGTGTTTTTGAACCAGGAGTGGGAAGGCTGGGCTAGGATCCACCTGGGGGAGTCACCTGGCCAGGTAAACACAGCTGTCCCCAAGATGCCTATGGCCTCAGCCAGCTGCTTTGGAGAGAATCACAGTGTCACAACTCCAGTCTCACTAGGTTAGCACTAATTCTCACCCTCCTGGGGCTGTGAATGGTAGGGGCAGCCTGGAAGCTGCACAGAGGACTGGAGGTCCCTCCTCCTTCTGCCTTGGTTGTGATCACGATGCATTTTCCCTGACAGATCTTCTCCAAAAGACAGCCACAGGTGCTCATGACATTTAAATTGCTTCGATTTGCAAGTCCAATGTTTACATGAATATTCACACACTCTCTCACACACACACACACACACACACACACACACACACACACACACGGTCTTTTTGTGGCATTCAGACCACAGCCTGCTTGGGGTGCTTTGTCATGGTGTGCAGTGAAGTGACAAGACTTATTGATTCCCATGGTGGTTTCTCATCAAAGAGCATTCCAAAGCCTGAAACCTGCCAACCTACCAGACATTCAGGACTCGGCTATCCTGAATTACAGGTGGCCTGCAGTCCTCAGATTGAAGATGCCTGACTTGGATGAAATGGGCAAACGCAGGATTCACCAAAATTCCCAAAGAAGAAACAGGCAATTGGAATACTTTTTGGGGGGGGTTATTTCAAGACAGGGTTTCTCCATGTAGCCTTGGCTGTCCTGGCACTCTCTCTGTAGATCAGGCTGGCCTCAAACTCACAGAGATCCCCTGCCTCTGCCTCCCAACTGCTGGTATTAAAGGCGTGTGCCAGCACCACCTGGCTCAATTGGAGCAGTCTTTATCAAAGAAATCTAATAGCTTTTCAATAATCTTCTAAAACAGGAAGTATTGGGCCCAGATGGCCCACTGGTGAGTCCTGCCAAACACTCACATGAGAGGGACATAACTCCCACTAGTCTCTCTGAGAAGACAAAAGGGAGACCTTAAACTCACTCAGTGAGGCCAGCATTACCCCAGAACCAGAACCAGCCACAACAAATGACAAATGTAGACCATCATCCCTTAGGAACACAAATGCAAACTCCTTGGGAAAGCACTAATTGATTAAACACAGCAACACATATGTGATGGTTTGAATATGCTCCCCCCCCCCCAGTCCGTGTGTTAGAAACTTAGGGCTTCTATTGCCATGACCACAGCAACTCTCATAAGGAAGACATTTCACTGAGGTGGCAGCTTACAGTTTCAGAGGTTCGGTCCATTATCGTCGTGGCGGGGAGCAGTGGTGTAGCTGAGAGTGCTACATCTTTCCGGCAACAGGAAGTGGTCTGAGACACTGGGCTGTATCTTGAGCACATATGAGACCTCAATGCCCACCTCCACAGTGACACACTTCCTCCAACAAGACCACACCTCCCAATGGTGCCACTCTCTTTGGGGGCCATTTTCTTCCAAACCACCGCAGAAACTTAATCTTCGATACAACAGGGTTGAGAGGTGAGACAGTATGTGAGGCCACTGACAGTGGGTCCAAGACCTAACTCTAATGCACAGACTGACTTAGTGGAGCCCATTCTATATGGAGAGATAGCTTGTTCAGCCTAGACACAGGGGTGTGGGGAGTGGAGAGCTGCCTTGGTCCTGCCTCAACTAGATGATGGGACAGACTTAGTAGACTTCCTAAGGGGAGGCCTTACCCTCTCCATGGAGCAGATGGGAGGAGAGGAGGGAGGGGGAACTGGGATTGGAATGTAAATAATAAATTAATTAAAAAAAGAATGTGAAATAAGATTGTTTCTAACCTAAATAAAAAAAAATTTTAAAAAATGAAAAAAAAACCCTCTCTAGAAACACCCTCACAGACATTCCCACAGATGTATCTCTCCAGTGATTCAAACCCAGCGAAGCTGAGCTGATGAAGCTCAGTCCTGTAAGGTATAATACATAGCATAACCTCACCTGCTAATTTGTCTGTGTGGGCTCTTCTTACATGAGGTTCCTGATTAGACTTTTGCCCATTTCTGTTTGCTTTCTTATTTATTTTCAAGAGTCTTGTATATTTTAGATCAGCCTATCATAAGTGTCTTTTTCAATACTGCCTTCTGAGGCTTCTTCTTACTTAATCTTTGCTTTGATTTTATGAGACAGAGTCTTACAAGATAGCCAGGGCTGGGCCAGGCGTTGGTGGCGCACGCCTTTAGTCCCAGCACTCGGGAGGCAGAGGCAGGCAGAACTTTGTGAGTTCGAGGCCAGCCTGGTCTACAGAGTGAGTTCCGGGACAGCCTCCAAAACAATACAAAGAAACCCTGTCTCGAAAAACCTAAAGAAAGAAAGAAAAGTGGAAGTCAGTTCTCAGGGGCTAGAGTGCTGGGCTGAACAAAAGGAAGGCAGTTCAATTATTAGCAGATAAACCTCCTTCCTGACTTTAGTGTAGTGTAACCAGCTGCCTTCCATTCCTGCCCCTGCATCTACAGCCACCATTGTGCCTTCCTCACCATGGTGGGGCATGTCCTCAAATCGTGAGCCAAATAAACCCCTCCTCCATTCATTTGCTTTCGTTCACAGGATGAGAAAAGCAACCAATGTAGCAATGGAATAAAACGAGAATGTCCTAAAACAACCCCCAAACCAAAACCCAGGATGAAGAGCACCTGGAATGCTCATCATTGCTAGTGGAAGGTGAAACACAGTGCAGCTGCTGTGGGAGACGGGTGTAGCGTCTCATACAACTGACTTATTAATAATGTTCCATGGTTGCATTCTTGTTTTTTTTTCCCCCTAAAGGAGCCAAAAGCTTACATTCATACAAAAACCTGCACAGATACATTTATAGAAACTTTATTCATTGCAACTGAAATGCTCTTCATTAATGGAGCAATAATGACATGTAACTCAGAGATACAAAGAAATGAGCTTCCAGGCCAGGAAAAGACTCGAAGGAGCCTTGAATGAATATTAGCAAAGGAAAGTAGCTGACCTGAGTGACTTTACTCCATCTGTATGACCTTCCAGAAAATGAAATATGGAGTTGGCTTTTTTTTTTTTTAAGAAAGTTGCCTAGAGCTGGGGTGGGGAGAGTGGACAGATGGAGCCCAGAGCATGGGGGCGGGGACAGTGTAACTGCTATCTTTGATGGGATGCCATGTATCTATCCAGAGCCACAGAATGTAAAACATCAAGTGGGAGCCCCAGTACGAGCTGTCAATTCTGACTAAATTGTCAACACTTGTTAGTTGTGATAATGTATCTATCTCATAAAGCAAGATCTTTGAACAGAGGAAACTAACAGGTGTGTGTGTAGGGGGGTTGTCATAATGAGACATTGTTTCAAACAAACAAATTACAAAACTGCTCTGAAAATTGTCCATTATGCCAGGGCATTGGTGGCGCACACACACCTTTAATCCCAGCACTCCAGAGGCAGAGGCAGAGGCAGGTGGACCTCTGTGAGTTCAAGGCCAGCCTGGTCTACAGAGCTAGTTCCAGGACAACCTCCAAAGCAATACAGAGAAACCCTGTCTCGAAAAACAAACAAACAAACAAAAAATGTTGGTTGATAGTTGTAACTCCTGAGGCTGGAGGGACAGCTCAGTGGTTAAGAGCACTGACTGCTTTTGCAGCGGACCTAGGTTCTATTCCCAGCACGCACGTAGTGGCTTACAACCATCTGTAACTATAGTTCCTTTTTAGGCCTGTCAGACACTGCAAGCATGTGGTGTACTGACATAAATGCACTCAAACACCTACACAAGTATTTTTAAAAAATTAACTCCCAGATCCTTAATTTCCTACCTGTGCTGTTTGCATTCTACCTGCAGTGATGACCATTCTGACAGTTCTCGGTCCTCGTGAGTATTGTGTCAGGATTTGGTTTGCTGGGTTGTTTGGTTGCTGCTTTGCAGAAGTCTTGGGGCCTGCCTGCATTTTACAAGGTCCCTGATTTGTGAAACTCCCTTGTGGCCATGCTCTTAGCTCAACTAGAGGTCCTTCTGCCCCAGAGGCTGTCCTCAATACTGTGTGCTTCTGAGGTATCTCTCCTCAAGCAAAAGGAGCCACTGGCTTCCCATATTCCCCATGTTTCATTTCTCCTCAAGGACTGGACACCTCAGTTCCTGTGTCTCCATCTGGTCTCTTTCCCAGCCTCCATCATTGGAACCAGCTGCTTCAGAAATGCAGCCTCTTCAAGGCCACAGCAGAAAGGCTGGTTAGGCTGACTCGTAGATGACAGGGCAGGGAAGGAACTTTTAAACTGCGTGTGTTTTTAGGAATAACAAGCACCTCTAAGTGGACTCCCTGTTGGGTCTGGTCAAGGGCATGACACTCATCTCTTACTTTTGCACACGGCTCTCTCTGGATCTAGTTAGAAGACTGGGGTGAGCCAGGGAGATCTTGGGGGGTCCCCCTGTTAACTGGACAGCTGTGGTTGCTTCAAAATAAATCCACCTGACTATCTCAGTGTTTCCCAAGACCCTTTGCCCTGAGTAAGGACCCAGTGATGGCTGGTTCTGGATGTAGGTAGCACGTGGCCATACAGACCGGGTGATCTGGTAGATTCAACTCCACTTGCAACTGCCCCCAAATCTGCTTGGTGGAAACCCCAGCTCCCTGGCACCAGCCCCTTCCACAGCACAGTGTTCCTTTCTCCTTTCCTTCCTCCTTTTGAGCAAGACTTAGAGGTGCATTCCAGTTGATCGTGGGCCGTCTTCTACAGAGCACTTGACAGGGGCCTGTGGCAGCAGATCTGGATGGACAGGCAATGAGACCACCACAGCTCGTTTGCATCTAAACCCCACAGTCCTGGTGAAGGGACACCAAGGTATGAGCTTTCTTCATTTTTAAGAACATAATAATTGTTGGGACCAAGGTTGGTATATGTTGGAGATGAAGCTTGGCTCACTTGCATGGCGGGCTTCCTGTTTGTTCATCTAACGGAGTGGATTCAGGCTTGTGAGTGCACTAGACACATGGTAGGGGAGGAGGGAATCTTGGGGTCTTTCTGAACAGGTGGGGCCAACGTGTATCTGGGGAGGGGAGGCCTGAGCAGCTCAAGTCTTCTTTTTTTTTTTTTTTTTTAATGAGACAGGGTTTCTCTGTATTATTTCGGAGGCTATCGGTCCAGCCCAGCCTCGAACTCACAGAGATCCACCTGCCTCTGCCTCCCGAGTGCTGGGATTAAAGGCGTGCGCCGCCACCACCACCTGGCGTGCTCACGTCTTCTTATTGGGTCATAGGTCAGATACTGGGGTCACCAGCACCCTTAAAAACACTTGCTTCTTTGCCTTCAGAGCAGACTCCTGTGTCTTCCCGAAACCCTTTCTGCTGCCTAACCTCGGGTACCCCTCAGTTATTGTAGCCCTTCATTCTCATAGGAACCTTAGGGTAGGTGTACACAGGCGGCCGAGGAGGGGACTATACGTGGTCACCGCAATGCTGAGACACAGCTACTGCTCAGCAGCCTCACAAAGAGTCGGTGCTGGCATTAGACCCGTCTGCTGACTGGGCCCTTGTCTCTGAGGAAGGAGGCCCATGTCTCCAAGGAGTGAGCACCCCCTGTTTATTTCCAGCAATCACTCCTTGTTGAACCCTGATACTTGAACCCACTTGTTCCCTAAGGAATCCAGTTTCCTGATGGATTAAGAGGGACAGACACATGTACAGTGGTCTGTTATTCAACAGTCCCTGTGCTGATGGGCCCCACTCAAAGCTGGGCAAGCGTAGCTGGGCTTAGAAGTATCTTAGGAAGGCAACAGGGAGCTGGCCTTGGCTTTGCTTTCCTGCTGTTTGTGCAGAAAGGTGCCACTTGACTGCGCAACAGCAAGGAAATGAGGAAAGCTGGGTACTTCTGGGTGGAGCAGGTCCCGCAGGTGCACCGACAGCTGGCTTTCTGGGAAATTGCAGACAGGCAGCTAGCGTGGGGTCTATTGCCCAGGGAGAGTAGAGCTGGGTTCCATGGGTGCCTCCTCAGGTCCTTTCTTAAGTAGTCTGTCCTCCTCACTTTAAACGTTGACGGGCCCTTTTTTTAAGGCAGGAAGGAGGAGTGAACCGGAGTATCACTTGCTGGTAGCTCCCTCAACAGGAAGCTACCTTATAGGCTCCTGAGAACCCAGGGCTCCAAGGCAACCTCTTGGCTGCTTTACTTCCTCTACTTCCAGCACTCGAGTTTTGTTTTGTTTTGATTTTTGAGACAGGGTCTTGCTATGTCGTCCGGTGCTTCAGTTTTGACTATCTACAAGGCAACCCTGCTGACAATTTTGGACAGCATCAGAGGGCCCACCAGGATGCCCATTTGCTTTTGTGAATTAGTTACAAAGGTCAAGGAAGAATGCCATTAAAACTCAGTGGGAGGCCGTGGGAAGGGTTGAGATGTGTTCCAGTGTCAATCACAGTCACTCACCCTCTGCTGGGCAATGTTGCAATGGTCCAGATCAAATCCTAGGCTAGAGTGGAGATTGGGCAGTCCTATTTTTTACGCCACTTGGAACACATTGCTGCCCCACAACAGGAACAAGGCAGTGAGTCTCTTGGAGAGCCACAAGGCCCAGGAGGCAGACAGACCTGGAATCGTAGGTCCAAAAAGAGCTTCTAGCCTCCCACGGAGGGCCAGTTGCCCTGCCACACCCTCCTAGGGCCTGGCCCTCTAACCCGAGTAGCCCAACCACAGCTAGTCCTCATTTCTCGCTCCTTCCGGGCTACCCCAGACTCTGAGGCAATGTCTATGGTAGGAACTGAGCCTGATAATGTTCAGCACTGCTGGCCTTCAGTGTCCACATAGTGTCACCTTCACAGACCTGGGTCCAGGCAGGGATTCTCTGGTACACACTTCAAGCTACAAGACAGCAGGGCCAACAGGTAAGACTCAAGCCATGGACGCTGTGGCAGTGACAACCAGAACAACATGCTTCTGAGTTTGCTATACTGTGTGTGGGACAGGATTCTGCTGGAATCAGCTAGCACATTCCCCTTGGCAACTAGAAAAGTCCGTGACCAGGCAGGTGGGGCAGGTGGTCGAGTCAAGGGGCGTCTTTTCCACGGTGTGTGTAGTTGATGGGATCCAGAGGTAGCTGTGAAGTTAGTTCAGACAATACTTGGGGAGGAGGCAGCCAACGGAGGAGCTGACACGCCTTCTCCTGGGAGCCTCATTGGCATGTATCTAGGAGCCCAGCAAGAGTAACATCTCAGCATAAAATGGGATAGACCGGAAGATCATGGGCTTGTTCCAGCCCAGTGGTCCTGCCTTGGGACCAGCAAAACCAGACCTTGACTCCAGTCTCTGCTTCTCTTTTTAAGGTGTGCTGAGATAACATGATGGCGGCAGTGTGTGTGTGTGTGTGTGTGTGTGTGTGTGTGTGTGTGTGTGTGTTCAACCTCTCAACCTGAGAGCAGAGCCTTATTTGGAAAAAGTGTTTCCGCATGTAATCAGATTTGGATGCAACTGTCCTGGTTCAGGGTGGGTCTGAAATCCCATGGCAAATGTCACTAGGGGGCAGATAGACAGAGGAGAAGGTAGTACGAAGACCAAGGTGAGACTAAAGGGATGCCACCATGAGCCAAGGACGCTGGAGTCAACCATGGATGGAAGAAGAGGAAGGAGCACTAAGCCCCTGGAGGAAACATGGCCCTGAGACACACCTCTGGTCTCTGGGACCACAAGAGAAGGCCATATCAGGCCCTGGGTTATGGCAGCCACAGACCTTAGGCTGCTTGAGGTTAGAGCAATTACGGCGTGGACACCCAGCCCTGGTGATTTTCTTTAGGAGCTCCGTGAGCATCGCCTGGCTGATCTGCCACAAACACAGGTATTTTTAATACATTAGACGGCTCCCTTTTAAACAAGCTGTCAGGAAAATTAATTGCAGGAAGTTTAACAGGCGCTAACATGCCTAAGAGCCCTGCAATTACCGGCTTCCAGTCTGCAGGCACATTTGACAGCCTGGGGGCCCCAGGGGTGCCTGGCTGCTCCAGAAATAATTTCTTCTGCCGTGTGTGTGTGTGTGTGTGTGTGTGTGTGTGTGTGTGTGTGTGTGTGCCTGACCTGACCCCAGATTACTGCTCCAGCGTCTGAGTGGATTCTGGAGTCTCTGCGGTGCAAAGCACCTGATGATCCTCTTCCTCTGCTCGGCTCTGCAGGACTCTGAGTCAGGATCCAGTACAAGACACGTCACCCACCTCATCTTCTGGAATTCAGCTGAGCCCTCGAGGGAAAGTCCTCTGGGAGTGCAGTCCATCTCGGCAAAATGGATTCCGAGGCTAGGCAAAACCTGGGGTCTCAAATTTGTGTGAGGTCTACAGGGACAGAGGAGGCTTTCAGGACAGTCATTCTGTCCATATCCTCCAAAGCACAGCTGGTGTACACAGAGGCTAGGGCTGGGCCCCTGTGTCAGGTTTCTTCCTCATTTTCCCCTCGTTCTTCCAAGTGACACCGATGTCTCTCACTCCTGACCTGTTGTCACAGGAAGACCCCTCTGAGGACCACGTAGGAGTAGGGAAGCCTTCAAAGCTGGCTTCACAGCAGTCCAAAGGCTTTTCCTGAGTGTGGGTCTGTCTCACAGATCAGTAGAACGGGAAACACAGAGGCAGTGCCAGGGACTCTTGGCCTGAAGGCAGTCAAGACAGGGGAGCTCCAGGTGGCTGAGTCTGAGGGACCTTAGTGTGGGAAGACTCCTGCCTACCTTGTTGTTTTGGGTCTTCAGAGGTGCTTGGCAGAGGCCAGCAGCTGTGGGCCTGCCATGAGCTGGGCCCAGGGTCCTGGAGACAGATCCTAGAGGGCAATTAGTGGAGTGGGATGACTCCTCCTCCTCCTCCTCCCTAGGCAATAAACCCAACTCTGGACAGTTGCTTCCTACTGTGCACATCCTGCCTGCAGCAGACAGGGTTATAAATGAGCTGGCCCCACCTGGATCCAGACCAGCTCGAAGGCCTGGATGTCTGGTGCTCAGCTTCCTGAATGACATGACCCAGATGTGCTTTGCACCACTCTCCTTGACTCTCGGGAGCTGGGGATTGTGTGGTTCTACTGAACTCTTGGAAATTATGCGCCAGACCAGCGACTGGCTGTGAGTGTTTACATCTTAACAGTTCCCAGGGAGAGATTATTTCCAAACATCTCCTGGGCTCTCTCTCTGAACCTCTCTGAGGGGCTGCAAGTGTGGCGTCTTTAAAGAGAAGAACCGATTCTGAGTTACAAGAAAACAAAGCTCTCCCAAGAATGCTCTTAACCTTTAAATACTGGACCAGCTCTGCTGCTGTAAACAGCCATAAACTATCACTGGGTGTAAGGCCCTGTGTTCTGACAGGCTGCGGACTGTGCCCAGCAGCAGAGGCTCTTCAGCAGTCTTCTCTTTGAGGTGTTTTTGTGATGGAGTCTTTGGGAGCTGGAGTCTTTGTGAGGATAGCTTCTTAGCTGGTGAGGCCAAGTTCAGGGCTATGCTATGAATCCACACAGGGCTTCTCTGTGGGTTCTGTGCTGATAGGGCTAGGTGCAGACAGAACATGGAGGGCTTCTTGGAGGGCTGAGCCAGAGGGGTAGGGGCTGTTTCCACACTGATCTTCCATCAGGGGATCACCTACACTGACCTTACCCTAACAGTTTGGAGCAAACCCTGTGTGTGTGTGTGTGTGTGTGTGTGTGTGCGTGTGCATGTGTTCGTGTGTGTATGTATGTGCATGTGCATGTGTGTACACATGCGTGTATGTGTATTGTCTTTTTCTACTCAGCATAGCATCAAAACAGCCTGAGGATGCTCTATCAGCTATGGAGCTTCTTGCTTGAGCAGAAATCAGATCCTTTAAAGGAAAGTAACAGAACCCAGAACCCCTGTAATGTCTCACCTACAACGTTTATTATCAATTTAAAGACTATCAAATATATAAAGAAATAGGAAGAGGTGACCCACTGACAAGAAGTAGACCAGTTAGAAGTGGGAGGCATCCATATGACTCACCACAGTCAGTGTTCACCGGATTCTGTGCAGGAATGGCCCTATTAGGGCGTGACGCTGAAAAGCCAGCAGAGATGAGATGGAAGACTCTGGTTTCCTTGGCAGAGGATGGAGAAAAGGAGCCCTAGAAATCGAGGATCATGGGAGGAAATCTGAGAGGAGAGAGAAAGGGACCCATTGGTGCTGTGTCTGACCCAACACGAGTCCTGGGATTGTCTTTGAATGGCGTGTGCGTGTGACTCAAGTAAGGGTCTTGAGGACTGAGCCACAGTCATGAACCGAGACTAAGGTGAGTGAGTGTTCAGGGAAAAACTACGGGCTTAGGAGTGGTACTGATGGTGGCACCAACATCAACAGACGCTACAACCCAATTCTGCTCTCACTGGACTGCCTGCCCAACTGAGGAAAACACCAGCATTCTCCAGGGGTTAACATAACCAGAACTACCACAGCAAAGTTTAAAATGTGTGGGAAACAATCAAAGTTACCATTGAAAGCCCTAGAAATAGGACTCACCCTAAAGGAAAAGACAGCCATTCGATCAGTCCATGGAATTGTTACAGTCACAGTAACAGCCCATTGAGGAAAACACTTTCTGACCAAGAGAATAGAATTTTGGCCCCGGGTGAAGAGCTGGCATTCCCACTGGGCCTGGTCAAGCCAACTTAGGAAAGTGGGCTCACCTTAAACGATGCTACAGAGACAGGGGGAATAATTTGCCCTTTAAGGGGATACTGTATTTTCTGCTTCTAGAATTCCCCGGTACAGTCCCTGTGAGTCACCATGAGGTCCAGCTGGATTGTCTCACCTTTCTGAAGCCTGAATCCAAAAGACACCCCCACCCCCAGCTTTTTCTGTCTCTTTTGGGGGCTGGCCAGACCCTTAACTCTTTCTTTAAAGCCCCCCACTCCTCCCCTCCCCTCCCCCCCCCCCGCTTTGTGGCCATGTGTCTGACTCCCATGGCAGCTTAAATGACCCCCCCCTCTCCATTCTTCTTCTTCAGACAGCTACTGAGATTTATATCACACCTGCCCTGGGAGTTTTCTTTTTAAACTTTAATAAAATCATCCCTGAGCTTTTTGTTTTGTTTGAATCCATCCTTAAATTATTTTGTTAGCAAGACTGAGAAACCGAAATGGGGGACCTCTGTGTCTCCGGTAACATCTGGTGACCACAGAGAAGCCTTCAAGTTCCAGTAGCAGGATGACGCAAAGAAGGAAAGCGCAAAGCTTTAGCAGGCGCTGGGGAAGGCATGGCAGTATCCCAACGCTTGGGAAGGTAGGGCAGGAGGATATATATATGTTCAAAGCATAGCCTGGGCTATACAGTAAGATCTCACATCAGGACAAAAGCAAAAAAAGCAAGCATTGTGACCGTGTTCCTTGAGGTACAGAACTCTCTGAAATGAATGGGAAGATGAAAGAGAAAGACCGTGTTACAAAGCCAACTGAAACTTTAGAGGTAAATTAAACACCAGCGGAAAGGAATAATCTGTTTGCCTCTGTTTTGTGCACCATGTACCAATGAAGACTATTATCGTGGGTATAAAACCGTCTCTAACAAACTACATTTATATCGTATGAGCGTATTTTCCGAAAACAATAGAATTGAGTTATAAGTGGATATCATACGATGGCATCTGGGAAGATGTCAAAGCCTCTAGAAGTACAAACACTTCTAAACAGCTGAAGGTCAAAAGAGGAATCCTAATGAAAATAAGAAAATATTTGAATGAGAAAGGATATTGCTCAAACAATAGCAATAAAACCAAACCCAAACCTCCAGATGCTACTAAAGCAGTACTGCAAAGGAATTTTGTATCATTAATTGTTTGTACATTAAATAATGAAGTTCATGCTGGACATGGTGGCACACGCCTTTATGCCATCACTCAGGAGGCAGAGGCAAGATGGATCTCTGAGTTCCAGGCCAGCCTGGTCTATAGAGTGAGGGCTACACAGAAAAATCTTGTCTCAGAAAAAACCACCACCACCAATAAGAATAGATAATGACGTTCTTAAACCAACAATCTAAGTTTTTGCCATAAGAAGTCTGGGTGTGGTGACTTACACTGTAATCCCAGGGTCAAGGCAGGAGGATTGCTGCAAGTGTAAGGTCAGCCTTAAACTTAAAGGAAACAGACATGAGAAATGAAAAAAAAATAATATAAATTGAACTGGAGACACAACTGGAAATTGTTATGTGTGTGAGTGTTTGCCTGAATGTATGCATGAGCACAACCTCCCCACGGTGCCTGCAGTGCTCAGGGAGTCCAGAGGCCATGTCAGATCCCCTGGGATTGAGTTACAGGTAGCCCCGTGCTGCTCTGTGGGTGGATGGGGGGGAGCAGAATCTCAGAATTCTGGAAGAGCAGCAGCCAGTGCTCCTAACCACTGAGTCATTTCTCTAGCCTTGGAAGTTGATTTTTTTCTTAAAAAGATTTATTTATTTTCATTTTATTTGCATTGGTGTTTTGCTTGCATGTGTGTCTGTGTGAGGGCGTTGGATCCCCTGGAACGAGTCACAGACATTGGTGAGCTGCCGTGTGGGTGAGAGAGAGGAGGAAGAGAAAGAGGAAAGAAAGAAAGAAGCAGAGAGGGAAGGAGAGAGGGAGAGGAGGGGAGGGAGGGAGAGAGGGAGAGAGAAAGAGGGGGAGAGAGAGAGAGAGAGAGGGAGAGAGAGAGACGGAGAGAGAGAGAGAGAGAGAGAGAGAGAGAGAGAGAGAGAGAGAGAGAGAGAGAGAGAGAGAGAGAGAGAGAGAGGGAGAGATCAATCTGGCGGCAGGCCTGTGTTAGCCTGCTTCCAGCCCCAGCTTAATCCACTCTTCTGGAATAAGGCAGCTGCTTTCTCACTACCCTGACTGTTCCCAACATTGTTTCCTGAGCATCAGAAAGACAGATCTGTACCCTTTAGACATAATGCCTCCATACTGTTCTGCTGGGGAGCTCACTGCTGCTCATTTCCTGGAGTAAAAGCCACCGCGTCGCGCCGTCTGTCCATTATGCTCATGGCTCCAGCCAACCCAGCTTCCTCCCGGTTCCTTAGGCACACACAGCACAGGTCTGTCCCAGTGTCCTCCCCCCACTTCCCTGACACTGCACACCACTCCCTGGCAGCCTATGAGGGACCCTCTTTGATCTACCAAGCCGTGTCCCCGATCTTAACGCCTCCACATTCTCAGAGGATTCCTTAGAATAAACTGCTGGAGAGACCCGGTCCTGGACTCCGCCTCGGACAGCAAGTATCTCCCAGAGGAGGTGGGTAGGGGCTGGCCAGCTGGCTGGGTTCCCTGACCAAGTGTCCTGTGAGCCGTGTGGGGTGTCGAAGATGACAGAACTGCTCTCAGGCTCTGGTAAAGAGAGCATCCTGGGAGTAATAGTGTCTTGTACTCTGCTCTTCTAAAGAGGCCTTGCCTGCCTGTGAATCTTTGTTGTTTCCTGGAGTGGAAGGAAACCAGCCTGTTGGGAATTGAGAACTCCCAGTCTCCGGCAGTTGCAACAAACACTGATATGAACTAACTCATCTACCGTCGGCAGGTGAGGAAACAGTGCCCCGGGGTCCTGTAGCTGGCCATCTACAGAGTAGAGATTTGAACCCAGCTCTGCACTGCTGCTCTGGGGTGACCCCCCAAACTGTCCGTTCCTGGGTGATACTCAGGTGCTGGAGTATCTGCCAAGTCACCAACTGTATCTGGTTTGCCTTCCAAACCAGCCCTGGCTCTGACAGAGGGCACAGGTGTCTGGCTGGAGGAAGACAGGGGACTTTCAACTTGGCCAAGCTGATCAACAGCTCTGTTCTAGTTTGTCCTCTGTGTCTATGGCAAAACACTGGCTGATAGCTACATGGGGAGGAAAGGCTTGAGAGTCTCTCCTCCCTTTAAACACAGCTAGAAAATCAAACAAGGTTGCGTAATTACGGTTCGGGAAATGCAGACAGACAAACCTCCTCCAACCCTGGTATATGGTCCGATATGACGGCGGTGCCCTCCACGCCAGGCTGGCCCAGGAGCCTCAGTGTTTGAATGTCGCCATGGGAGCATCTCTTGTCCCACTATTGGACTTGACCAAACAGAGTCTCTGCCTCCCAGTACAACATATTGAGACTATGGCATGAGGCTAGTCTCGGGACAGACAACCCCACTTGCCCTCGACACTCTGCAACAGGGTGGCAGGCAAAGGCCTTAAGGATGAACAGTATCCACGAAAAGCATCAGTTTGAGGACGAGGTCTAAGAGCCCAGCGCTTGGGTGCTACAGGAGCTCCACGTACAGACCCTGAGGTGCTGTGGAGCAGGCTCTTCCTCCAGGGCTCATGCTCCCTCATCTCTCGGAGACAATGACCCTTATCCCCAGAAGAATCACCAACAGTCAGGTAGATACACTGGACGAGTGCTCTCTCAAGCCACCTGATTGACATCAATACAGGGCGCTGCCCCTGTTGCTTTCTGAGAAGTAAGATCCCGGTGTGGACCCCACCTGGACTGCCTGCATGTCCCCATCCTTCATGACCTTGCCAGGTCAGACCAGCAACAAGGCCATATCGCCCTGTTCCCAAGGTGAGGGTTACCTCCTTCTGGAAGACCATCTCGGTCTTCCTTACTCCCCACAGCCTTAGAATCTTACCCACGATGCCCAGTTACAGTCCGGATAGTCTGAACAACAGATTTCATAAGCCAAGTTCCACCCCACCCTACCCCAAGTCCTCTCTGACCAGGTTTTACTATATATCCCAGTCTTAGTCTCCAGAGAACTAGCAGTACAGATATGCACCCCTATGTCCAGCAATACACAGCATATTGGGCTTTCAAAAGCTATGACCAGGGGGGGAAGAGATGGGTCAGAGGTTAAGAATGCTTCCTGCTCTTCCAGAGTACTGGAGTTTGAGTCCAAGCACCCACATCAGGCAGCCCACAACCCTGTAACTCCAGCTCCAGGGTACAGGTGTACACAACCTCCTATGCACACATTAGTAAATAATAATAATAATAATAATAATAATAATAATAATGAATAGTAACTTCAATCATCAGGCTGGACATGGTGCCACATGTCTTTAATCCCAGCACTCAGGAGGCAGAGGCAGGCCAATCTCTGTGGGTTTGGGACCAGCCTGGTCTACAGAGTGAGTTCCAGAACAACTAGGGCCACACAGAGAAACCCTATCTCAAAACAAAACAAAAACAAAAACAAAAACAAAACCCAAAAGAACCTTTAATCACCGTGATGGCAAGACTGCTCAGTTGGGTAAAAGTGCTCAATGCACAAACATGACAGCCTGTGTTTGATACCTGGGCCTCACAGTAGGAGAGAACTCACTCCTAAAGATATTTTCTGAACTCCACACGTACAAACCTTCACTAGAGCATGTGCAAGCATACGACACACACACACACACACACAGAGTCATTAAAAACAACTTTGATCATGAAACACCACAAGTATATACAAAAGATGAAAACCCAACATTGCTTCATTCACATACTCATACACACACACCTGTGACTTTCCCCCAGACTGTGTCTCTGTAAACTGTTGGGACCGATTTTCTTCATTGTGGAGTCAAAGTGTTTCTCCTTTCCTTGTCACCCCTGACCAGCCTGGTGCTCAATGTGCCTGTCACCTCGCAGTTGATCTGCTATAGACATGATACAGCGACTGCAGGCACAGCCTCTCCCTGTATGGGCTGTAGCCTCTCCTGTCCCTGGGGTGAAGATGCACCCTCTCCAGTGCTGATGCTGCATCTGAAGTTGGGTCTGAGTACAAGGGGAACACTCTCATTTTCACTGGGAAAAGAGGCGTTCCCAGGATGACTGGGTAGATGGCAGGTTGTGGAGGGTGGACACAGTCCCTGGGCTCACCTTTCTTCCCCATGGGCATGTGGACACAGCACCTATGTAAGCTATAGTCTGGGACATAAGCTGCAAGGTCAGCAACAGAGAACCATAAGACGTTTATAGAGCAGGTTAGAGCAAGGGAGCAGGAGCAGGACAAGTATGGGTCAGAGTAGGAAGCTGGCCTGGGTGGCCTCGGGGCCACCTATGGCTCAGGATTGGGCAGGGACATGTGAGTCTTGAGGAAACCTTGGACGCCAGCTCGTCCTCCTGTCACTGGTATAGGAGCCAGGTCTCAAGCCTTTGGAAGAAGCTGGGCACCGGGCTTCACCTACAGTCTTGCTCCTCCCACTGCTTTTCCAGCCCAACCCCATCCGGCTACACCCCAAACACCTGATCTCCAAACAGTGGCTGTTCTCAGAGGGTTTACCACCTAACTCTCAGCTCATTTTTGAATAATTTTCGTTTGCAAGTGCCTGAGATGGAATCCTTAAATAGGGCAGGGTGGCCAGTCCTCACAGAAGACGCAAACTCGGGGGCAGGGGGATGTCCCCGTTTTTTGGAAAGCGGCCAACGCATCAACACTTCCAAATATGGTCATGAGGATGGAGGCATGGGATTGCCAGCCCTGACTGGGGACAGGCAGTAAAGCAGAGGCTGTCCAGTCGGCTCTGCTTCAGGTACCCAGACATCCTGGTGGCTGCCACAAACCCTACAGCCCCAGGAAATAAAACACATCTTCAAATGGTGGACAGTGGTGAGGGAGGTGACAGGGCCCAGGCCTGGCCTGAGGAATTTTCTCACCAAGTACCCAGCAGAGCTTGCGTTCCCAGCCGGAGAAGCCTGGTCAGCAGTTAATGTCAGATGGACAAAGAACACCCGCTATCACCGAGAATGGGGCTGCATCTCCTAAGGAAAAATGGGAGCCCTGCTCTCCAGGGGGCATGAAGGCAGCCAGCAGGCAGTTTGTAAACACTCAACCAACACCATGACAGCTACAGAGGGGCGCCTGGCCCAGGTCGGGTGCTCAATAAACATTGCTGATGGATGGACAATGACCAGGACCCTGTCAAATGGGGCCCGAAGCCACCAAGCAATGGGCAAACCCCAGACAACGCAGCCCTGGGAGGGAGGAGACACCTTGCCATATGGGTTCTGTGGCTCCAATAGAGGTTCTGCAGGAACCTCAGGAAGGGTAATGACCAGGAGATAAGGATGAATTGTGGGCTTGCCCCCCTTGCTGAGGCCCTACAGGTGGAGAAGCCGCCATTCCCCCAGCAGTGTGGGCTGGGAAGCCCAGCTTCCTACAAAGTTGATCAAAGACAGGAGCTTCAAGGAGGAAACAGGCTTCAAAGGAAGCAAGAAGCCACCTCGATCAGCCTGATGTTTACCACAGGGAGCACGCACCAAATGTGCTTGTCTCAACGAGCAGGCTCTTGATGGAGAACTTGAGCCCAGACTCATCATACCTGCTAGGAGCAGCATCCAGGGAGGGGCCGCATCCAGGGACACTTGTAGCACAAGTGTATTTCTGGCCCCGTGGCCCACCTCAGAGATGACCTGTCGAGTTAAGTACTGCCCAGAGTCTGAATGCTGGTTACAACCCACTGAGTGTTGCTGGTTTCTGTGTGGCACCTGGATATACCACGTGGCTTCCACGTGACCACGGAATCCTGCTGGGAGGCTGTGGGGGGCTATGGATGACTTGGTGAGGAAACTGATGGACATGTGGGAGAGCCAGCTTTCCTGGAGGCCCCCCCAAACATGGCAGGAACCACCGTCCCGACCGTCCCGTTCTCTGCCTTCCCTGTGCCTCCGTGGTCACCCAGGGTCTGGGGCCAATCAATTATTCACAACTTTCCTTCTTCCTTTTTCTTTTCTTTAAAAAAATTTTTTTTATTGTTTTCCAGACAGGGTCTCACTATGTAGCACAAGGCTTGCCTCAAACTTGAGAACTGGCACTACCATGCCTGGCTTAAAGTGTTCTTTTCTGCTCTGGCTTCCCCTGTGGATACTATCTTACTTGCCTCACTACACCCAGACACCCCAGACAGCTCTACAGAAACATCGCCACTGGCGGCAACAAGGGCGGGCACTGCCTGTGAGGACTTTAGCACCCCGGGGACATGCGAATGCCCCTCACAGCTCTCTCTTCAATGTCTCTACCACCTCACTTCTCAGATGGGGAAACTGCAGCTCAGCTAGCAATGTGCCCAAGATCAAAGTTCCAGCTCCTGGGGGTGGGTCCAGGAGACGCAGCCAGAAGGCATGGGGAGGGGGTGGGGATGGGGAGCAACCTGGTGGTCGGATGAATGACTGCCCTCTCTCCTGAGTACCCACAGGGTTAGAGTAAATAGAGGGACGTCACTTTTGGGGCTCAAGCCCTCTTCAGCGGGAGGGAAGGAAACAGGGGTGGGACGGGCAGCTGGGAGTGGGAAGTTGAGGAAGGAGGGAAGAGCTCCTGGAGGCTCTCTGCCCTGCCCTGCCTCCTAGGAGCAGCTGAGCTCTCTGGGTACACAGCACTCAGGATGATGTCACTGGGGCCTACTTTGGGACAAAGGAGAAGAAAGTGCTGTTGAGGCACTGTTCCTTCCGCAGGGCAACACTCCCCGGGTGGCGCCTTGACTCACTCGGGCTCCTGAGGTGACATTGCTAAAAGTCCCCGTGTGGCTCCAATGGAAAGACACAGTCAGATGGGAACAGTGACTGCCTTGGTGTGTGCTCTCTAAGGTGACATAGCAGACTCCCCACTTAGACACTCTTACCTGGATGACGACCTTGACGGTGGCTGTGTCCACAATGGGTGTGCACACCAGGCCACCAGGGTGTTGGCCATCGGCACTGCGGTTCTGCAGGCCCATGGTGAAGAGCATGGGCACAGCTAGCAGCCCTGAGGCTAGCCATATGGCACTGATGAATTTCTTGGTGCGGCTACGGGACATGAGGGTCTTGGCCTTGAAGGGATGGCAGATGGCCATGTACCTTTCCACGCTCAGGCTGGCCACATTGAGGGCTGTGGCATAGGTGCAGGCATCACGAAGGAAATAGTAGCCACGGCAGCCGGCATCCCCAAAGGCCCAGGGATGGTGCACCCAGATGAAATTGTACAGCTCCACGGGCATGGCCAGCAGCAGGATGAGCAGGTCAGACAGGGCCAGGCTGCCCAAGTGATAATGCACAGTGCTCTGCAGGCTCTGTAGTGACTTCTTCCGTGCCAGAGTGAAGGCTGTCACTGAGTTCCCTACAGTGCCCACTACAAAGAGTGCCAGGTATACAGCAGTCACCAGCACCTTGGAATAGATGTCAGTGTTCACGTCCAGGTCGCTGTTGGGCGCTGCCAGGACGGATTCCGAGGTGTTGCCAGAGCCATTGCCCAAGCCAAGCGCCAGGAGCATAGCCTCCAGTCCAGATTGCAACCGCGAGAAAGGGGCATCCTGCGGCACCACGGAGCTGTTGAGGCGCATGGTGGTCACCGGGTGCGGGTGCGTGGCTTTGTCCTGCACCTTTGCAGGTGAAAGTTCCTCCGGGGCAGGTGAGGAGGCGCCCAAAGAGGAAGGCGAGGAAGCTAAGGGGGGTGTGTCGGTCCAGCGGCGAAGCGCGCAATCCAGACAATCCTGAGAGCTCTGGGGCTTGAAACACGCCGGCTCCGGGATCCACACTTCTTTTTCCTCCAGAGTCTGGGATCTACGTTTTGGCTCCGCTCTTCCCGGGAACGCTCGGGGTCCCGAGCCTATCCCAGATTGGGGCTGCTTCGACCTCTAGATTCTGTGGTTGGGTCTCTGAATGCCCGGGTGGCAGCAACGTCCTCAGGACTCAGACCCTGCTGGCTTGTGCTTCGTTAGGCGATCCTGTGGCACAGGGCAGAGCGCACGCACGGCTGCTCAGCGTGCTCACCCTCGTTCTCCCTCTTCTGCTTCGAGCTATCCCCGCACCCCGACTTCGCACACCTCCTGCTGCGCCGGAGCCTGCGGGGCTCCTCGCGCCTCCACTGAGCTGGCGGCTGCGCAGCGCGCCCAGCAAGTGGAGGAGGGTGCTGGAGAGCAGAGAGGCGGCCCCAGCCACTGTCCCCTCCCCACCGGGTACTGGCTGACTGTCGCCCCTGCTCGCTCCCGGGGACAACCTGAGCTGGGATGAGCGCCTCAGGGAACCAGGATTCCTTTATGGGGTGCGGCAGAGTGAGGGGATATTGGATCTTTCCTTTCAACCCCTCCGGGGCAGCAGTCTTCTCTTCCCCGACCGTTTGTCCCAACTTCTCCCACCTCAAAAAGGAAGCTACCCCACGTCGCCTCCAGCTCCCTCAGGAACATGGGGATGTACTCGGGAAGGCGGAGAAAGAGGCGGCACCCTAGTATGTATGGCAGGGTCTTTGTACAGCTGGCTGGGCCCCCACCCTTCTGGGTGCCTGCAGGGTGCCATACGCACCCAGGGAGGCTCTAGCGTGTGCAGCGTTGGACGAGGGAAAGCAGAGAGCAGGAAGGCAGAGCAGCCCAAGCTCTCCATGCAGGCCCAGGCAATCCCGCGGTCCTCTGCTGCCCTTGGGTATGATGGGCCCCTCTGTCCTCTGTAGTCACCTGGATCTGGTCGCTACAGAGCTGGGGCCATGTAGGGCTTTGGAGGGGGAGGGAAGATTTGTGGGACACAGAGAGGCATCTGTCCTTGCAGGAAGCACTACAGCCTGCGCACTCAGCTCTTCCCAGGGGACCCCGCCCCTGTCTTGGACCCCGGAGAACAAAGGTCTTTGTATCTTGTCCCCCTGGTCAGGGACCCTGGTAAGAATGTCCAGGCTTGCTGCCATCTTGCTTGCCCCAGGGCCCTTGCCTCTATTTCCCTACTCGACCCTCTTAGACCTTCTGCACTATTATTCATCCAGACAACTCATACTGGATCCTGCGGAGTCCAAGGGCAGGAAGGGAAGAAGGCTCAGGGATTGCAGTTCTGCATGAACTCAGCTGACTGCATCTGCTGTGCTGGAACTAGGAAGCCTGAGTGGGCTGTGGAGAGTTGGTGGGTAATGAGAGACGCACAATTCAGACCAGGGATTCAAACTTGACCTGAGACCCAGGCTCAGCCAGCAGAGAGACATCCCCCCCCCCCAGGTTTATACTTTCAACCTGCTTTGGGCTTGCCTGCTCAGACAAAAGCTGGTCTTCTCACTGTGGAATCTTGACACATGAGAAGCAGTGTTTAAACATTTCTGTCTTCAAAGGAAGCAACTGTGCCCCCTTCCTAGAAATCAGTACAGCAGGCTGTAGGAGTTGAACAAGCCTTTTAATACTTGGGAAAGTGCCTCTGCCTTTCTGAGCCTTGCCTTCCTCCTTTGTCAAAGGGAAACCTAAATCTGCACTGATGGTTTCTGGTTAGTAAGGTAGGCTTGAAAACTGCCCCAGATAAGACAAATGCTATGTGGGCTCCAGCTAAATGAACAGAGGGGGTGGCGTAGGACCTGCTGGTCTTTGACGTGGTTAGGACGTATTAACACTGAGCTCTATCAGGCCCATACCTCACTGCCCCATGGTGTCATTGGTCTCACCCAGACCCAACCACCCAAAGTGCCATCTGGCTCCCTCCATCAGGGGGTTCCCCAGTGGAGGGCCGTAGCCAGTGACCACAGGAGCGTATGTACTCTTTTGGAAACAGGAGCTGCAGTCACCTGGGAGAGGCCATCTCAAAGGCAGCTTGAGCTCATGTTTGGTTTTCTAGTCCTGACCTTTTGGCTAAGCCAGCCTTGTCTCCAAAGCTTTCTTTTGCGGTAGTGTCAAAGATTTTAAAAACTCATAAATGGCAACTTAGCACAAATATTATGACAAGATATTTGCTCAAAACCAGCTAGGAAAATGCCATCCAGAAGGCCTGGCTGCGTACAAGGATGGTGCAGGCCCTCACAGGAGGCATCCCAGTGACCATGCCTCTAGATCCTTCTGGATTGTTCTTTCTGCTCTGAGCCAGGAAGATCCAACGGAAGAACCTTTAACTGCAAGTTTGTATCTGCAAACCCATGCTTCCCGAAACAGGGGCCTCCCTAAACATCATGTCACTGAGCACTGTGTCCATAGGTGACCCAGCCATAATCCTAATGGCTCAAGTCCCACGCTGACCTCTACACAGCTGTGGGCAAGCAAAGCTTAAGCTACTGCAGTGTTGGGACCAGGAAACCAGGGTGGGCTGGGGGGAGTCACAGTTGCTCCTGGTCTGGACCCATTTTTCAGGATCAGAGCTGACCCATCTCCTCGGCAGCAAGGGCCCAGGTCTATCGACAGGGTCTGGGTTTGCAGACAGCTAGAATACAAGATGATGTCAGCTTCCCAGGTCCCTTGTGTGGTACGGACAAGGCCGAGGTCCCATCATTGCGTGGACTTTTTAGCTACTATCTGTGCGTGAAAGTCAAGTTCAAAGAGCCTCCTGAGAGCTGGCATCTTCGTTTGTTTGTCTTGGTGACATGTCCCCCAACACCGCTCAGACAGACACAGCCGGCACTTAGAGCATGAGAAGCCACCCTGCTCATCGTGTCCCGTGTCCGACAGGCTCCAGTAGAAGCAGGGCCACTATCCTCTCAGGCTCCATGTCTCCGTCCCCTGTTCCCTAGACCACTGCTGGGTAAGGCAGCTTCTTAATAAATTCAAAAGGTTAAACAAGGGCTGAAGAGATGGCTCACTGTTGATCGCAGAGGACGGGGGTTCAGTTCCCCACATCCACAGAAGATGGTTTGCGACCACCTGCAACTCCAGCTCCATAGGATCTGACACCCTCTTCTGGTCTCTACTGCTGTCTGGCTCATATCCCACCCCCCACAAGTATGCGTAATTAAAAATAAAGAAAATCTTTTTAAAAGCCAAATACATTTCCAATCATAGTGCGCCAGTTATTGTCTTACAAGAAGCCCCTGACGCTCAGACGCCTAATTCATCAAACACTTATTTATTTGCTTCTTTTCTGTTTCTGTCGTCCCGGGAATTGAACCCACGACCTCACACACGCTAAACGAGCGCTCTACCGCTGAACAGCATCCCTAGGCCATTAATTTACTTGTCTTCATTAACCTTTCTAATTATATTTTTGTTATTGTTTCGAGGCAGGGACTCACTGTATAGCCTTGCTGATTTAAACCTCACTTTGTGGAGCAGACTGATCTCAAAATCTTAGAGATCTATCTGCCTCTGTTTCCTTGTGCTGGGATCAAAGGTGTCCATCACCATTCCTGGACAACACTTTATTTATGTATCTGAGTGTGTGTGTGTGTGTGTGTGTGTATGCGCGTGCACACATGAGCGTGTGTGTTTATGCAGGGACATGTGTTCCACTGTGTGTGTATATGTGGCTGTGTGTGTGTGTGCAGGCACATGTGTGCCAGTGTGTGTGTGTGTGTGCACTGATTAGTGGACAGGACTAACTTGTGGGAGTTAGTTCTCTCTTTTCAGTTTGTGGGTCCAGCAGATCAAATCCAAGTTCTGCGGCAAGTTCTGAGCAACCTTTGTGGACCTTGTTTTCTATTTTCGAGACAGAGTCTCCCAAAGATGCTGAGGCTGGCCTTGAACTTGGGATCCGGCTGCCTCAGCCTCCCGAGTGCTGCCATTGTGGGTGTGTATACCCTACCTGGGTCGTGTTTATCACTATTACTTGGTGTCCTCTGTGGAATGTGAGTGCACACAGACAACGGGAGAGGCAGTGCAGACACTCTGAAGAGCTGAGCTGTACGCCCCATCTCACAGTTTGGAAACTGCACATGCTCCAAGGCACGCTATGCCTTCCAAGAGAAATCTTAAAAATAGAACAACACATGTGCATGTGTGGGGAATAGCCCCTCCTCTCCCTGTGGTCTGGCGATGCTCATAGCATCTCCGGGGCTTCTGGCAAGATGCCCAAGGTCCAAGTCCAGGTCCAGCAAGCTATAGAATGGTCACCCTTGCCTTCCATAGTTCCAGACAGCCCTTCAGCCTTGGCTGCTCTCTGGAGTCACAAGTTGTATTCTGAGGGAAGAACCAGGAGAGGGAGTGGGGTGGCTGCCGGCAGTGTGTGTGACTACAAGAGACATGTTACCACAGGGCCACAGGATATATAGGGCTATTGGTAAGGGAGGGGTGTCATGGGATTTGGGGGCCAGAGATCTGGAGTCCTAGCTGTACCTTTCCCTGGCGATTAGCTCTGACAAGGTAAATAAATTGGCAGGACCTGTTTTCCCCACACGTACATTGCAGATGGTGTGGTCTCTTGTGAAGGCTGCTGAGGGAGTCTTAGAACGAATGTCCGTCCCTCTTCAAATAACACAGAATGTCACTCTGAGAAGACACCAGCATTCACATAGCACTAGCTCCATCTGAATGCAGGCCAGCGGGAGAAGCCAGGCAGGGAGGCGCTACACCCTCTTCCTCTTCCTCAGGGGACTTCTTTCCCAGAGTGTTGCTGTGGCTGCCAAATGCACTTGCCTAAAAGTCACCCTCCTTAGTGTCTGAAGTCCTCTTGGAATGGGCTATCAAGCCTGTGTGTGTGTGTGTGTGTGTCTGTGTGTGTATGTCTCTGTCTCTGTGTGTGTGTATGTGTCTGTGTGTCTCTCTCTGAGTCTGTGTGTGTGTATGTCTCTGTGTGTGTGTGTATATGTGTGTGTGTGTGTGTGTGTGCCTCTGTGTGTATGTCTCTGTCTCTGTGTGTGTGTATGTGTCTGTGTGTCTCTCTCTGAGTCTGTGTGTGTGTATGTCTCTGTGTGTGTGTGTATATGTGTGTGTGTGTGTGTGTGTGCCTCTGTGTGTATGTCTCTGTCTCTGTGTGTGTGTATGTGTCTGTGTGTCTCTCTCTGAGTCTGTGTGTGTGTATGTCTCTGTGTGTGTGTGTATATGTGTGTGTGTGTGTGTGTGCCTCTGTGTGTATGTCTCTGTCTCTGTGTGTGTGTATGTGTCTGTGTGTCTCTCTCTGAGTCTGTGTGTGTGTGTCTCTGTGTGTGTGTGTATATGTGTGTGTGTGTGTGTGTGCCTCTGTGTGTATGTCTCTGTCTCTGTGTGTGTGTATGTGTCTGTGTGTCTCTCTCTGAGTCTGTGTGTGTGTATGTCTCTGTGTGTGTGTGTGTATATGTGTGTGTGTGTCTGTGTGTGTATGTGTCTCTGTCTGTCTGTGTCTATGTGTGTGTGTATGTCTCTGTTGGTCTGTGTGTGTGTATCTGTGTATGTGTTTCTCTGTGTGTCTGTGTGTGTGTCTCTCTCTTTGTGTCTGTCTCTGTCTCTCTCTGTGTCTATGTGTATCAGTGTCT